GCGGGCGGGGCCTCTCGGGAGCCCTCCGCTGAGCGCAGTCAGACCGCACAGCTGCGCGGACGGCGGAGGGGTCCTCCCGCGAAGCCCGCGTGGCGCAGCTGGCACTGGCCCTGGCTCTGGACACCGACAGGCCACCGCCGGCTGGGCACGCACGTGCCCCGGGAGCGTGAGGCCGTTTTCCGGTGGCCCCGGCCAGTGCGAACCGAGGAGGCCGCCCTGCAGCTACCAGGCTCGGCCGCTGGGCTCTGGCCCGGGCAGGAGTGGCCGCGACAACGGTCGCTGGCGTCGCTGGCGTGGTGTCCAGCTCCAAGCCCAAAGCTGGTATTTGGAAGGACGCCAGGCGTAGAAGGCCCTGGCACGCTGGGCCGCTCCGAGAGGAGAAACCGCCGAGCCCCGCGACCCGCAGGCGAGAGGCCTCTGGCTGGCCGCGCCCGCCGGGCAGCCCAGAGCTCCCTTTCGGCTGACATTTGGCGTCCTCACAATTCACCGAACTAACGCAAACCTCCCCCCGCCTCCCCCCCGAGGTAGGAGGCACAGAAACCGCTTTCAGCGCGGACAACGGGGAGCGAAGCGCTGAGCCCGCGGTCAGGATCGGGTGGCCGTGGGGGCCACCGTGCCTCTCCCGTCCAGCGGGCCCCGCCCCCGCTGGCCGCGGCCCGAGGTCAGCGGACGTGCTCCTCTGCCGGGCCAGCACCCGCCGCCCGCCGGGCCCTTACCCGCGCTCTGCGCTCGGCCTCCAGCCGCTGCACGATCAGCACGGTGTCCACGTCGTCGTCCTCCTCGTCCTCGTCGTCCTCGTCCTCCTGCTTGGACTCCTGCAGCCGCTTCTGGAACTGCCACTCGAGCAGCAGCCGGCGCAGCCGGTCGCTCTCCTCGGCGCTGCGCTCGGGCCGGGCCTGCAGCGCCCGGATCTCGGCGCTCAGCAGGTCCACGACGTGCATCTGCTGCTGCTTCTCCAGCTTCTCGCGGGCGTCCCGCTTCCAGGGGTCGGGGGACAGGCTGTCGCCCGCCGACAGGCCGTCCTTGCTCACGGTGACGTACTGCAGGTCTCGGCGCTCGACGGTGCGCGGCTGCTGCTGGGGCTGCAGCTCGCGGATGACGGTGTCCGGGGCCCGCGGGGGCGCGGCC